GGGCGTAGCAAAACAGGCAAACGGACGGGGGCAAACGAGATGGTGGTGGTGGAGTCACGTTTGGCTCTTCGGTGGCTCCGTAATGCGTGCTCTCACGGCTGTGGCCAAGATAAACTGTTGAGGCGAGGTGACCGTTTTTTCCGTAAACTCTTCGCTGAACTTTTACATCTCTTTCGAATCAAAGGCCTGATGACGGTATACAGTTTGCGGAGAGGTGGTGCCACTTGGGATTTTTTGCACCATGGGAGTATGGAAAAGACGTTGCTCCGCGGACGATGGTCCAGCACATCCACTGCCAGGATTTATTTACAAGATTCTGCTGCTACTGTCAGCCATTTACAACTCACAGCTGACCAAAGATCATTCGCGCAAACGACTAGTCGTTTCTTATATGCTTGACGGCCAAGGCCAGTATGGAAAAGTGAAGGGATGAGCTGTGTTTGTGTATCGAAGCTTCGGTCCTTCCCATCCTCATGAAAGTGTTGTCTTTCTGCCGGCGGGAAATGTGGACAGCAGTGTTTAGCGGAAGCGGTACAGTTGATCAGCTCTCTACTCTTCTTTTCACGTCGGTGCATGTGCACCAAACAAAAGTCTACTGGCGTGGCTAGTGCAAAAGGCATTGCAGAGTCAACATGGTCTTATGTGTAAAGGAGGGCCAGAGGGCCGAAGTGTAGCAGCGCGTATGTTGTGAAGCTAAGCCTGTCATACACGCCGCTTGTATGTAGCATCATTTCGGCCCACCCTACCCACCCCAGTGGATTCAGTTCCGACTGGAAGAGGATGAAGGGATGAGTTGTGTTTGTGTATCGAAGCTTCGGTCCTTCCCATCCTCATGAAAGTGTTGTCTTTCTGCCGGCGGGAAATGTGGACAGCAGTGTTTAGCGGAAGCGGTACAGTTGATCAGCTCTCTACTCTTCTTTTCACGTCGGTGCATGTGCACCAAACAAAAGTCTACTGGCGTGGCTAGTGCAAAAGGCATTGCAGAGTCAACATGCATATCCCACCCGAGACTTCAAGTTGGTCACGCCTGCCTAAACCTGGAAAGCGACATTCTCAAACAGTTTGGAGACCCTCAGCCGCAAGCCTTCTTCGAAAGCCATAGCGTTCAGGCGAGGGAGAAGCACTGGGTTGCTACGGTCAGAGAGCCTGAAGTCCTAACCTCGACACTTGCGACCCAAGACTGAACCGTGTAATCCAGAGCCTCAAACAATGCGAAACACGATTTGGTGTCTCGAGAAGGGGCCCTTCCAAGGCTTTTAGTCGTGACGGTGCAGGGGTTCTAGGGTATTGGGGTTTGGGGACGGTTAAGACTTCGGCCTTGCTGGCTTTAGGCTTTAGCTTGGGCTATGGCCTTTGCATAGTCTAGCAGGATGTTAATCAGGGTTCAGGAAGAGTGCGCAGAATTGCTAAACCGACGTCTGTATTCCAGCTCTTGCGGGACATCGTAGGAATCACCTCCCCGACGCCCAAGAATCCTCAAGCATCGCACTTCGAATCTCAGAGGCGCAATAGCTTTCTCGCTTCACGTCTCGCGTAATGGAGCATCCAAGACCGCACTAAAGAGAACCTTGCCCTGGGCCTTGTTTACGGAGCCACGAGCCATGAGGCCTAAAGGCCCTAAATGGCGGTTTCTTAAGGACAGGCTTTTGTGGAATCTCAAACGGTGCCCCCTAAACCCCCACGCTAGACCCAGCAACCTCTAGATGGAGCATTATGGCACCTCCAATAAAAAAGCCATGGCCCCCTAACCCTAAGCCCTAAACCTCACCGGTGGCAACAAAAAGCCAGGCAACTGGGGATCGCAACTGGAGCTCATGGCCATCTGCCAAACTTTCGGGGTGTCCCCGTGCTTGCATGTGGTCAGAGCTCTTCTTCCGGGTGGGGTTCTAAGTTCCAAGTGTTTTGGTTCTCCATAATATAACTTGACATAAGACTGAGGCAGTACTACTACTACAGTATTGCATATTATTATTATTACAACAGTATTACATAGTAGTTTTACAGTCTTGCACAGTAGTATTTACAGGATTACCAAGTATTATTACAGTATTACATAGTATTATTAAAGTACTACACAGTAGTGTTACAGTATCATATAGTATTATTACAGATACACAGTAGTAGTAGTAGTAGTAGTAGTAGTACAGTATTACATAGAATTATTACAGTATCGTATAGTGTTATTGCAATAGTACACAGTAGTGTTAGAGTATTACAGTATTACATAGTTTCAGTTCAGCATTACATAATATCATTACAGTATTACATAGCATTATTGCAGTATTGCCTAGTATTATCACAGTATTGCACAGTAGTATTACATTATTACGTAGTAATAATACAGTATTACATAGTAGTATTACAGTATTACACAGTAGTATTTCAGTATTAGATAGTTTCATTACAGTATTACATAGCATCATAACAGTATTACATAGTATTACTACAGTATTCATATAGTATTTTATAGGATTTGGAGCTCAAGGCCAGGGCCACCCGGCGATGACTCTGTTGGCGAAGCCCTAGCCCTGCCTAATGCCGTTTTTGACCCAAGGAAGGTCATCGTCCTAATGGGGAGTAGACTGGCTTCTTGCTAAGAATGTATTTTTCGTTACCATATTGGAGATCTATAGTAAACAATATGGTTTCCTCATTATAATATCCCTTAGCAAGAACCAGCCAAGGAACGTCATCGTCCACCAGGTTGGTTCGCCTTCCTACGACTCTCGTTTGGGCAGAGAAAAGTCCTTTTTGTAAATGCAGCGAAAAGGGTTTGGGGGTTTCGGTCGGGTCTATACGGCTAAGTTCTTCAGGTTTTAGGTTGAAGTCGGACTTCCACAGTAAGACAGATGCTAGGATTTAGGCTTGTGCTGTTTTCTGTCGCTTTCCCGGCCGACTTCCCAAGCCCGGATGCAAAAAAGGGGTGTTTAGGGTTGCCTATAGTCTCCATTGTAGTTCCTTTTGGGGTTACCGTTTAGGATCCTTAATATAAAATTTGTTGAACCAAAATAAGGAACTACAATGGAGACTATAGGTAAGTATCGGTCCAGGTCTAGGTGTTCAGGGTCAATGCTCGAAGATGAAAAGATGAAACTCCCCAACGCCGAGAGGAAATGGAGTTTAGCCCGGCAGATGCTCGCTGCCTTCAGCTGTCCTACCATGATGCTTGGCCGTTTGTTCATTGCTTTGGGTTTAGGGTTGAGGGTTGAAACGGTTTAGGGTTTAATTAGGGTTTAGGATTCCTTGGTTGGCTGTTAGGAGTTTGACGAAGCCTAAGCGCCTGCGGCGAATCTTACAGCCTCGCCAGGAATATCCGAGATGCGAGAGTTCAAATCCTAAACGCCCTTCAAGTCATTTATGTTGCGGAAGCTAAACAGTGTTACCGGTCGAAGGGGTTGAAGAATCAGTCAAGGATGGAGAGCACTACAACAGCGTCCGGCACCGTGGCTTCAAGGGATCTTCGTGGAAAGGTTGAGGGCTGCAGGCCCTTTGGCCTTAGGTTTGGGACACCGCCACATTTCCTTGGTAGGTCTCTTGGAGCTGAACATCCCTGGTCCAAGGTTTTCGGTTTAGAGTTTGGGGTCTCGGGTTCGGGTTCGGGCTTTTGAGAAAGAGTCTCTGCTCCTTACCGTGTTTATGCCCTGCCTCGGGCTGTGCCGTAGCCCAAGACCCCAAGGTTCGAACCCGAAATATGCAAAGGCTCCAGGGCTTCATAATCCAAATCGGTATCATCCAGAATTCTTTGAAATATGAGCGTACCATGTATGCATATTTGTGTCAGGCCCTTGTGTACTGGGCAAACTATTGGGGTCGTGACCGGCGCGGAGATGTCAAGTGTGCCTGCCGTCTTCAAGCCCCCCTGGGCTTCCCGGAACCCCCAACTCCACGTTCCTAGACCCCAGCAGTTCCGAAAGTTCGGAACCACGAGAGTTCCCAGAACAAAGCACTCATGTGAAAGACAGACAGAGCCACCAAACCCGAACATCTCTACCACAGCCGTCAGCTTTCACATCTCAACCTAGAAGCCTGAACCCTACGCCCTGTTGACAGCGCCCTAACAGCCCGAAAAACCGAATACCGAACCCCCAGAGCCCTGCCTGGATCAGCCAGGTTTGAATGGGATCTCTGTCCGGGCAAGCCGGTCAGCTTCCTTTCTCTGCAGCAGCTGAAGACCCTTAGCAGCGTATTGTCATAATTGCCTGCTCTTTTTTTAATTGGTGTAAGTGTAGGCTTGGGGTCTTAGTTTGGGCTGTCTAGGAGTCTAGTTGCGAAGCTGTCGAGGAAGTTTTGTTTCCTTGATTGCTGCTCTAGAACCGCCCACGAAGGATGAAGGACAGCGACGTCGTCGCGCTGCTGGAAGAGGCGACAGAATCCTTTGAGCCCGGTAAGCCCGGTACACCCAAAGCTGAATCCGCCGGTTGGAGTTGGGTCCATCTTCTGCGAGGTGAAGTACAGCCTGCCTCCCAACCACAGCTTCGAGGAAGCAACACTGCGCTCCACGCTGCTGCAGTCCAAGGACTGTTGGCCGCTGCTGGGATGAGGTGAACAGTGAAGATGATGAAGACGAGCGTTGGCGATGGTCGCGCTGATGGTGACAGGGCCTGTGTCATGTTCAAGATGTGGTACTATACATCGTGGTGATGGTGGTGGTGGTAGTGCAGCAGCAGCTGCTTCTGCTGCTGCTTCTGCTGCTTGCGCTGCGGCTGCTGCTGCTGCTGCTGCCGACATCGGTGGCGTACATGGCCGTGCAACTAGTGAGCCGTAAGCTTTGAAACTTCGATCCCCTCCATTCAGCAAGCCTCGAAGCCAAAAAGATCCAAAGCTCTAGGCCTAAGCCTTGAATCCACAAAGAATCGTGCCAGCTCCCAGACAACAAGTTGTGCAGCACTGACAAGAGACAGAGCAACGATGATCATGATAGAAGTGGTAGTATGCCGAAGAATTTCACAATCAAGGCATCGCAATGGCATGCTAATTTCCTTATAATAAGTTGCAGTACGACGCCGGGGCAGCTGTGGAACTGTTGCTCAACAAGCTGGCGGGCGTTACAGAGCCACAATCTGCTCCAGCCGCATGGATGCATTTAGGTCTGCTGCTTAGAACGTTGTTGATTTGAGTTTGAAGTTGTAGGTTTATGTAGGTCTTAAACGGACTTTGGGTTCGTTCTTGAAGCTTGGGGTTTGACATAATTCTGGGGTTTTGCGCATGGACGGACTTAGCTTATAGAATGGGTGTTGTCAGTTTCCTACAGATGCCGAAGAGATTTTTTGTTGCTCGCTCCGAGGCCGGTGTCGGCTCTTGTAGTTCCCGTGGCTGCCAGCGATGGCGTTATCATTACCAGTTGCTGCAGGTGCCGTTTATCATTGTCATCGGCACTTGGTTCGTGGTTTCTGTGGTGTTCTTGCTGTCTGTTCGGGTAGCACACCACATCCCTGTCAGCGCAAAGACAATCCTTCGCCCAAGGCCCGCTAAAGCTCCCTGAATCCCAGGTGGAGTCGAAGGACGTTGCAGCCGCTGCACCCGAGCAGGGGCCCTCGGATGCCAGCCCGGCGGCAGCCACCCAGGACACATGAAGTAATTGACTTTTTTTTAAAGGTAGGCTTTCGGGACATTTCATAGTTTCACCTGATTGGGACCAATAGGCTCGTATTTCTAACTAGTTTTCAAGAGATTCAAAGGGCCAGCCTGACAGGCTTACAAAACTACAGGGAGGTTGCAAGGAGAGGTTGCTCCCCGTGACAGTCCTGTTCGGGGATCTTGTTACCATGTGTGAGTCAAAACATGTTAGAACGGTGCTAGTGCATCGCGAAACTCTGCCAAAAGCTGCAAATTAGTAGGTCCTTAGTAGGTGTTCTATCGAGAAGATATTGCTGTTGTCGTCGTCGTTGTTGGTGGTCATGCTCCCGTTCGCGGTGTTGGGTTTACGTTGTTGTTTCGTTGTTATGAGTGAGACATACTGCGTCGGGAGAAGCGAGCCATGAGTGGCAGGCACTGTCGCTTGTATTTTAGCAGTTTTCGTGCTGTTGTTTCATATTGCCTGCGAGTTTTTGGGTTAATCTACGGGAGGGAATATCCATTCCACGGCAACTCCGCGTTTTTGCTCGTCGAGAACATTGTACTTGGTCTGTCTCTAGGAAAAGCCCTTGTTTCAGGACAGTCCGCAGATTCCGCAGTGTACCTTAAGTTTTGCCTTCCTTTCCCTCAGCTCTAAATCCGAATTACATCCCAATCCCTAGACCGCCGTTTGTTTTTCTTATAAACCCTAGTGAGCCCTGGCAAGTCCGAGTGTGAAGGTTAGATCCTTGGGAACAACTTTCCGAAGCAACAGCAAACCGTAAACAAAGCTTTCGAACACCCTAAAGAAGCCCGATAACGCCCTATGGCTATGAAAAAACCCAACTCCCCTGGCGGAAGGAGGAGGGCACTGAGACGGCGCCCGCTGAGCCCTCCAAGGGAACCGAGAAGCGGGCCAAGGTCCATCAAACATTCTTAAGTGATTATCAGTTGGGGTCTCAAGGGTTCAGGAACTTGCTTTCCGTAACGGTTGGGTTCATTTTTCAGGGTTCAGAGCTGAGGGTTTTCCTTCGGAGTTCAGGGGTTTTCCGGCGGCGAGATGCAACAGAAGGGCGGAGGTGGAGGGGGGGGGGTTCTGGGGCTTCTTGCGGCAAAGGAGCTAGGGTTCTACGGTTCAGGCCTTTTCGGTTGGAGGGCTGATCGGCCATTATGGCTCTGGGGCGGCCCTGGGGCTTCAGGGCTTTGGACCGTTTCGGCTTTCCGGTTGAGATGTCATCGCTCCGCGGTTTCGAGCCCAGCCCCGGGTTGCTTTTAAATTCAGCCTTCAGGGTATATCATAGAGGCATGGAGGATTAGCATCTTTGCTCCTCAATGTACTCGTACTCGATAATACTATACCCAAAACTCCCAAAACCCTATACCAATCAGTAAGCCCCTATACTAACCTCGGCCTTTGTGTGGCAACTGCCGTGCTTATTTCACAAGTAGCAAGCAGCTTGCAGACCCTTTCCCGCAGTGTCAGTTTGGAGCCTTGTGAAGTTCCCGACAGCTGCTCACAACTACACTCCTTATAGCTCTTTTAGTAACCTAGCCCCCCCCTTTATAGCTCCTTTAGCAACCTAGGAACCACTAAAACAAAAAATCGGGCCAGAAAGCCTTGGCGAAAGTGCAGGCGAGCCGCGCGGAGAAGCGGAACGAAAGGAAGGCCAAGGCCGAAAGACGAGGAGTTTTGGGTTGAAAGTAGGGGCCCAGGTAACTACCAGTACTGTTCATGGGGGGTTCCTGAGTTAAGTAGCGTATTGTGTAGCTCAGGGGTCGGAACCATTTTTCGCAGCATTCTTCCTGAGCGGTTCCCTCAGGGGAGCTATGAGGGTTTAGGGTTTCGTTTAGTTTCGGGCCGGAATAGTTATCAATACTATTCCTCAGGGGTCCTTGTTATCATAAGCCCCAAAAGCCCTATTCTAAGTCTTGAGTCGCCTATATTAGAAGGATCTCAGAAAGGTATTAGTTGGGGGGGTCTATAAGTTAGCATTGACCATTTTCCATTTTCTAAACATGTGACCCCCCCTAGCACCAAACCATAACAACCTATACCTCAACCCCAACCTCACCAAAAAACCCATACAATATTCCTAGCATGGAACCACCAGAAGACCCATAGGAAGAAGCCCCATAGAAAAACCCATACAATATTCCTAGCATGGAACCACCAGAAGACCCATAGGAAGAACCCACACAGAAAAACCCATATTCCCCAACCCGAAATCCCTAACCCTAAAAATGGAAAAGGTCTTCTCAAATAAAATATCTATAC